GCCCAGGAAATAAGGCATCTGTGGAGGATGGATAGGGTGCTTATTGTACCTGTCGTTCTCTCCTGTACAGGTGTGATACCACACACACTACACAAAAGCCTGGGAACATTACAATTGAGTAGAAATACATACATCACACTACAGAAGGCCACTATATTGAATACATGCCACATTGTTAGGAAATTTCTGAATACAGACACACACACTGACACACTTATTTAATTTTAGTTTTGTTTTGGTTGCTATGCCTTGACTTTGGTCCGGCATAGTACACAGCCACCGGAGTGAACCGAGTATAACTCACAAAATCCAACATAATAATAATAATAAGTTTCAATAAAAATGATAAAATGTAAATTTAATTTTATCATAACGAGTTTGCTTGAATTTCGTTTCTTCTGAGATCGCAGCAATGCGCGACGGGTAAGCTAGTATTTGATTAATATAATGACCATGTAATTTACTAATTTTTAAACTATCACATCATAATAAATTCAGATACTATAACAATCTAATATCTGAAGAAATCACTAAAATGTGAGCATGAAATGTTTTTACAAAATCTATAAATCAAGTTTCTATTAAATTTATCTTAAAATAAAAAGAAAAACTGAATTAACTTACACTATTTATAGGTTTTTCTCTATTTTTAAAATGTAAATTATATCCAATAATAAATAAAATGTTAATATAACAATAATAAAACCATTTATTACTTTTTTAATTATTTATGAAAGTTTCTTAAGAATAATAATTATCTTTTTAACATTAAATTGATAAATAGGTATAAAGTAGGATGAATGTTGCAATCTAAACAGAATTATAAATTATGGTAGTTCTAGAAGTAGAGATTAAAAATTTGAAACCAGAATAATTACGAATATAGAATACCTATCCTGCTTTCTAATTAACCAGAATACTTATCCTGCTTTCTAATTAATGTTAGATCATTCATATTATGTGTCATTGGCTGATAGAAATGTCAGATTTGCAATTGGAGATAGTGAAACAGAAGATATTTTATTGAAAGTAGCATTGATAAATTATTATTAAATAAAGTATAATTTAACAACAGTTAATGTTGATGATTAATTAGAAATAATTATGGTATGGACAAAAAAAAGTTCCCATACAAAAGTGAAAGTAAAAGAATTCTATGTTTTTTATTCCATTTGAATGAAAGACATGGAAACAGCAAAACAAAAAAAAAAACACAATATAATAATACAGTACAGCATCGTTTATCTGAATCAATTGGGGATGGGGTTGTTTGGATAACTTTTTTTTTGGATAACCGATTATGTACAAAAAATATATTAACCTATCCATGTTGAAATTTTTCCCCATTGCGTGTTGCTTCGTGTTGAATTTTCATTGATGTTAAGCCTAATGTAAATTTTTTAAAATAATAATCATGGCTATTGTATCATTAAAAATTATTTATTTATTTTGTACAAATAAAATAAATTTATTGAAAAATATAGAAACAAAAAAATTATAATTTGGAAGTTAATCTAGTATCAATAACGTTCAATTCAGCATGACACAGTCTGACTGGAATGCTTTTGGTTAACTGACATTTCGGTTGATTGGCTTTCAGATAAATGATGCTCTACTGTAATGATGAATATAATGAGCTGTCAGCAAAATGTCAACGGTTTATATTGGTTTTATATAATAATGAAAAGGAATATATAAAATGGTTGGCTGTGCATAATTAGCCAAGCTATTATGGAAATATTCATTATTTTTGTCTAGACATTATCAATTCAATGTGGTATTGCTTGGGAGAATCAAAATTTCTTATATTACCAGAGAATAAAGAATTGATTCCTCATGAAAATATGCATATTTTTTATACATGGAATTTTGCTTACCTTCTTTGAGGTGGACAAATATATTTTATACACTGAAAATTACACTTTGGACATTATTTGCTTATTAACAGTTCAACTACTTATTGATTTCATAAAAACATAATTTGACTACATACAACTATTGTTAGCATTATATTACTGAATTATTTAATGAACATAAAAACAATTAAAATGAAGTTTTCCTAATATTCTGAATTTAATTAAACAAGTTAGAAAATTCTGAAAGATCAATACAGAACGGAATTTGAATCTACAACTTTTGTTTGTCATTCAGATACTATTTAAAATCTCTGTCAAATCTGCTTTCAAATATATATATTTTTTGAGCTGTGTAGGATAATTGCCACTGTACTGATTGGGGACATTAAGGCTCCAAACCTCTAAAGTTCTCAGTTAGCTTTTATGCTTATTCTAGCATGATGTACAAATATTAATACATTATATAATGAAAGTTCAATTTAACAGCCAATCATATATTCTAAGTTGCCAAATTGTTTTCAGGTAGGATTTTTTTGATAAATATTCACAATTTATCTGTATGGTTATGTAATCCAAATGTATATCTGGAAGAGGAAATTGGATAGAAATCAGTTTATTATCTATAACTACTTGGTAACAAGAAGTTATACATGGTAAGCAATAGCTATGAATTCAAGTCCTGCATCAGGTCAATATTTTATTCTAGAATTTTCTAATTCTAATATAAATAATTAGAAGTTCAAAATAAGTTCAAAATTAATTTATAACTGTTAATAAAAGATGATGGAATCGTCTGCTACTTTTTAGACCAAGAGCTGCAATTTGATTATAAAAAAATTAGCTTAAAATCTAATCTGAATATAGTTCAGTAATTTAATTGTATTACTGGCTATTAAACTAAATTTTGGTTATATTGTATATCTTCAAGATAAGATTTTGTGACAAATCAATATCAATAACATTATTAAATTAATTGTATGCACACAAAAAATGTTTATGATGCTATTACAAATTCTGTATTTTGATAACTTATTTGTTTCTGTTTATGGATAAAATGAAAATTTTAAAAATTTCAGAAATTTTTATTTCCATCACTATGTATGTTCTTTTCACACATATGCAGGAACAAATTCAAATAAATAAACATAAGAATGTTTATTTATTTGAATTTGTTCCTGCAATTCTTGATTTTTTATTAACCATATAAATCTGTTTACATTAATGAAACAAAATTTCATTAATGTATCCAATAAATCTAATGTATCTAATCTTTCTTATAAAAAAAAAAAAAATTCTAAAAGTCAATTATGTTGCCTCCCAAATAAATAAAATATCAACAGAATGAAAATTAATTTCAATACAACTTTTTGCAGATGTAAAAAATGATTATTTTATTACTTATGTGGCTGTTGAATTTAATAAAGTTACATTTTAATTTTACACAAGCTTTAATGATTTTTAATTGAAATGATTTATAGTTTTTTTGTTTCTGTTTTGACATTAATTTTGTACTCAAAACTATGAAAAAATTCAATGAGTTTTAAAATAAATCAGAACATTAAAAAACTATATATCACTCATTAAATTCATTATTTTCTATTATTTTATTTTTAAACAATAAAAACTCGGAATTTTAAGCATAAATGATTTAATGTAATTTAATAGGTTATATTAATATGTTAATAATCTATATAAAAATAATTTATTAAACTTTCTAAAACTGTTTCATAAATTTAATTTCCAATACTTTTGGAAATACATTTATATAAAATCAGGTCTTATTCAAACATAATTAAGCAGAAAAATCAATTTATGAATTAATATTTTCTTATATTTCCACAATAAAATTCAAGTTTATATTGTGCAAATAGTTTCTAAATTGAAATCTAAAAAACTAGTTTTATATGTGATAGAGAATTGGCAAGATATTGCCATTAAAAACAATTAAATTTGAATGAAACCTCTTCTACTTATGTTTTTAGTGTGAAAGACAATATTGTTAAATAATAAAATTGCATTTTTCATAAGAATAATAAAAATTTTATTTAAGAAAAGAATTAGAAAAAGAAAACTGTTCATAAAATATTTAGTTTGTAATGCTAGTTATAGGATGTAAATTACAATAAATTATTTTTATATTTTACAATAAATATTAGCTACAAACCTCTGGTCTATCTCTGTGTGTATCAACTGCATCTACTGGAAGCTTAAATTCTTCTTTTTCACAACCATAGGCAACCGGAGTTAATTTAATCACAGTGTGCAATGGAACTTTCAAATATGGCAATTCATCTAAAATTTTAAATATGTATAAAATTTATATAAAAAATTTTTAATTAAATTTCTTTACTATATATAAATTGCATTTTTTTAATATCCTTAAATGAAATGATAAGTAGGTAAACTCTGGAAAAACAAATCATATTTTTAAATAAAAAAAATGTGAAATAAAACTTGGCAAACAAAAATATTACTATAAAACATACTCAAAATTTAGTAGCAATTAAAGTTAATTGATATTTGAATCTCTCTAGTCAAAATTTATTTAAATGAATGTAGAAAGACCATATTGTGCTTATACAAAATGATTAAGAATTAATTATCCAAATAAAAAACATTTATTCATTTGAAATTTATTACATTCATTTTATTCAGTTAACAATTCTTATGATTATTATGAAATGAATATGCTAGTCAATATTATGGAGTGTTTTTTGGGAATATCTGATTTCAATTGAATTTGTCTTGTCTATGTTAATGATTTTAAAATTTCATGTTAATTAATTAATATTGAAGACAAAGTTCATCAAAATAGTCTTTTTATTCACTTTCTTGTTCTGGAATACATTCCATGATGATTTCACTAAGGTTTCTCTACCTGGGATCCAAGTATCTCAGCTGTTTAAAAAACATTTAAATTTCTGGGAAAGCCCACAAATTCCTTAAAAATTTAGTTTTTCCTTATTTTGTGTTAAGTCGGGGAAATTTTGCTAATAGAAAGGGGAAATTAATTCAAATTGTCAGAATACATTTGTATTTATTAACTTTAAAGCTTGTTTATTATTTTTGTTTTTTAATTTTTGCTTGTTATGACAATTGTCAATCATTAATATTAATATTGCGGGACTCTGAAAATTCTTTACTTGTCAGAACCTGCAATATCTTGCATAATTGCACTGATGCTGTCTTAATTTGTCACCATGCTCAGTAACTATAGTAACTGCATTACTCCAAGTAGTGTAAATTGTGCAAGTATATAAACAGCAACTGCATAAACCTAATTATTAATTAAAGCCAAATGAACTGCTGAATTATCAAGTTATAATAAGACTAATTAAATTATTAGATACAAATTAATTTGTCTAGAGGTAGGTGGTTAGGCCATCATTTTGAGCTAATTTTAATAATTATAATAATTTAAATTTAGAATTTCTGAAGAAAAGAATTGGCCCATAGCAGAACTTCAAACATGTTCTGGGCTAATTCTTTTCTTCCAGAAATTTAAAGCTGGCACCAAAAGATTGACTTTACTTTCATCAGAAGATTTTTTCTTTCATTTTAAATGATTTAAATCAACTAAACATACATTATTCACAAAGACTAAAGGAGTTGTTTATTTGATGCATAACAGGGAGAAGAAATGAGAAACTGACTGGCCTCATGCTGTATCTCAATACTGGAAAAAATTATGAAAATGTTGCAACTTTTGCAAATGACAGAAATTTGCCAGACTTATCAACTAAGTCTATGTTAATTTCAGCAGCAAAGCAGATATTAGATCATCTTTTTGAAGTACCTACTAATTCTATCTTGACTAGTAGATAGCAAAAGAAATATTGCAAATCATCTTGAAAAGGAACTAGAAATATTTGTGGCAATGGGTGAGAAACCCAGAACAACTCTCTACTCTTGAATGCATTAAAGACAATTCCACCCACATCAACAGCATTCTCAGCAGCAGGATTTTTCATTAGTAAAATAAGTACAAGATTGAATGATTGAAGTATTGACCATCTTTGTGTTTTTTAAATCTTACTATAAAAATTTACATTGATAATTTTTTGTTATATTATTCTTGGAAATTTGAAGGTAATTTTCATTTCTTCTTTAAATTTTCTATGAGATTCAAAAATATTTTTTGTTTTTGTTGTTGTAATCAATTTTCAATAAAAGTTTAAGCAACATTTTTATATGTGAAAATCTATGTAATTCAAAGGTAACTTTTAACACATATTTTGCACATCATTATTGGCCTATCATGGAGATTGCAGAATGTATTAAATTATATTAAAAGAATGAAAAATAATTATCATTCCTTTCCAGGATTCCTGAACACAGTTCACTTTTCTCATAATCCCAACATAGTGATATCGAACCTACTCTTTCCCTGACTGCAGATTTGTCAATTCATATCTAATCTCTTTACAAGAAGTTGTGAAAGCAATAAACCAAGGTACTATACATACATACAAGAAAGACATTGGCAGTACACAAAGTGTTTAGCTGGCAGAAAAGTGGGTAAGAGAAAGGGAAGGGGAAGAAGGAGGGAGAGGAGATAGACAGTAGAGAAAGGTAGGATTCCTCTGAACAGCGTACATATAGCTACAGTACTCTATGTTTGATGTTGGCGTGCAGTTTTTAGGCTGCAAGGCCAAGTCCCCCAAAGGGTCTAAAAGAAAACCTGAGTGTAGCAAACACCAATAACTGAGTGCCGCCATGAATAGCTAAGTATAGAAGTTAGTGCCAAGTGGCTGTTAGTAGGAAGACTTATATCTACTTAATACTAATAAAACTGAACGTGATCACAAATCTTAATATAGTAGAGCATTGATTATCTGAATCAATTGAGGACTGGGGTTGTTCAGAAAATCGATTTTTCGGATAACTGATTATGTATGAAAAAATACATTATTAACATAGTATATTAGTATATCCCAATAACAGTATATTAATATATCCCAATAACAGTATAGTAATATATCCCATGATGAAATTTTTCTCCGTTGCGTGTTGCTTCGCGTCGAATTTTCATCAATGTTAAGCCTAACAAAAATTTTTATAATAATCATCATGGCTTTTGTATTGTTAAAAATTATTTCTTTATTTTGTACAAACAAAATAAATATATTGAAAAATATAAAAATAAAAAAATTTATACTTTAGAACAGGGGTGGCCAAAACGTGGCGCATGCGCCAAACGTGGCGCATTGGACGATTACAAGTGGCACTTCAGTTAGTTCTGAGCAAAATTTCCAGTTGGCTTTTTTGCGATTAAGAATATTATATAGAAAAATAAATTTTTTATAGTCTGTCTTGGCAAGTTCATTTGTTGCACAATTCGTTACAGTCTATATTGCAGATAAAATGAATGTTCTCCACATAGTAAATTACATTGTATGCATGTATTTTGAGTCTTGCGATCTTTATTTCCGATCAGTTTACAGGCGTGTAAATGGCCGAAAACATTTATTGTGATTAAAGTTATTCCAAGCTGATCTCGTTCTCAGTGCCAATAATTGTGGTGCAGAGTAATCTTCACCAAACGAGACTCTGGCAGCAATAGCACCC